TCTCTCTCTCTCTCTCTCTCTCTCTCTCTCTCTCTCTCTCTGCATGTAAATCTGTTGGAAAGCAGTGCTAGGCTGATTCCAGCAGTAGAAATGCCTGATTCTGGACTAGACACCACTAAGTAGACTCTGAAGCAGAAGCAAATTCTTCCACTCATTTTGTCCCATGCTCTGCAGGTGGTTATAACATCAAGCCTAGATTGCTGGTTGGTGTTTTGCCTTATACACTACTTCTGTAATGTGATTGGTACCAGACTTATTATAATTATTGTGTGTATTTACTCTTAAATAATGTGGAGTTGGGAAATTTGTGTTATAATGATAAATATTGATCTATTTTGTATGTTGTAAAAAGTTTGTAGGCTTGCTAGCCATATACAGTACTACAAAAGTTCCTTCACCACCTACTTATCTTTTTTTTTTCTTATGATGATGGAAATTTGTCTGCTTTTAAGTTAATAACTGGGCAGTCTCTCATGTTGAGGGACTAATGCTTGGTCAGAGGAATTTCTTTTTTTCTTCTGGAAGAAAATTAAATCTTATCCAGCATAGCTTGCTGGGAAGAGAAGTTAAATGCACTGTGCATTTTGGGGAGGGGTGTTAATTTTTTTTTAAATATTATGTTCTCTGTAATGTTGGCTTCCAGTAAGTATATTCTTTGGGAAGCACTGTGAATGGGGTTCTTAAGCTTGAAATGGCAGTCAAATGAAAACTGAATAAAAGAGGCACGTGGGTTATACTTGCATGTTCTGGGCCAAAGCACTGCTTTATTTCTTCTTGCTGCCTTTTGCCCCCACCCCCAGGCCAAGCTGTTTTGGGCTTTATTATGTGAGTGGGCAAGATGTATTTGCTTTTCTTTACTAAGCAAGAGTTTTGTACAAGGAGAATTTAGCACATACATTTTGATACACATTCCAAAAAATTCAGAAAAACCATACATTTGCAGCTAGCACTACCAAGATAAGCATCTTAATTCTCTTATAAATCAGTTTTGCCAGTCTAGTGCCCTCCATCTCTGTTGCCTTGCAATGCCCAACATTTCTAGCTGAGGTAAATATGTTGGTTAAAAGTGATGGCAATTGTAGTCTGTCATTTGTGAGATCCAACTTAGGGGAGGCTGCCTTAAGTTGACTTTGAACTGCTCAGAAAATCTCCTTTTTGTATCTGGAAAACAAAATTTGTAGCCTGTCATTGAGTCTTCATCCCAGTCTTTTTACTGACTTGCTATTTTTTTTAGTGCAAATTAAAGTAGAATATTGGAAAATGTTTCACACTCTCTCCCCACCTCCATTTTTAAGGGTGGTATAGGATGAAGAATATATTTTTATTCTTCAGTGTATCTGACCTTTTCTCAAGGTCTGAAGTGATTAAAATATTAGTTTAGTAATATCTAGTTTCTTTAGCTGACCCAGGAGTTTTTAAAAAAGTCTTATCTGTCTGGTTTCTTGAGACAGTTCTACAGTTTTATATTGTGTATCAACAAATATGCCCACACAGTGAAGATTCAGGAACCTCTAGATGTATAAGGGATACACAATGCTGCTATGAAGGCTAATTGCACATACCAGACACAATATCAGAGGAACAGCTGCAAAGAGCTGTGCCAAACTACCATGTAACTGTAAGTCTCAGATGTTGGGAATACCAGTTTTAGGGTGGTTTTTTTCCTATTGTTTTAATAGGAGAATTCCTATTAAAATTGGGCTAACTGAATATGTTTTTTGGTGGTTTAGGGAAAGGCCTTTGTAGTTTTTTAACTCTCCCCATGATTATCAGACTTAATGCAGATGTTACGCAGCCCTTCTCTGTGTTGAAATATATCAATCTTCCATTGCAACTGCACAAGTATGCCACGGGAAGGGCTATTATGAAGGGTGTAATATTTCTATTGTTTAACAGCAAATGCTTCAAGCTTCATTCATGGTGCCTTATCCTTAAGTGGTTCCCAATGGAGTTTTGTGTCTGTGTGCATACACACAAACTTGTATCTTGCAAGCTTCATGCACTCTCCTCTCTCAGTGTCTTTGTGCTGCAATTTCATTTCTATTAACTGCAGAAACACTACTGAGAGCTACTTCCTATAGTTTCAAGAACCAGAATTTGAGTCTCTCGCACTGCTGGTTTTGTTTCAGATCTGATATTTCCCTTTAACAGAAAATATCCTTTTGGGGTTTTTCCTTTGCAAGTGTTTCAAATAAATTTCTTTAGGTTGTTGGCAGTGGAAGAATTCTTGAGTCCATTGCAGGGGCGCATGTGGACTTGTGTTAAAAGGAGAAAAAAAAATCTTAATGGGACTTGCATGTAAAATTCTTTCATAATTTTATTGCCCTGATATAAATAATTGTGAGAACTCTCTTGATGTGGCATTAGGAGTCTGGTTTTTAAATCATTATTTTGATAATTTTGGCATTAAAACAGTCAAATGCTTCATGTATACCTAAATTCCACTGACTGTGAGTTATCGTGTGTAGATCATTTTCCTACTTTTTAAAAAAATATAAACAGCCCTTTTTTTACAGATCTTTCCTAGTGGGATCTTTAAAGAACCATTGCCTCCCAGTTTTCTTTTTCATTTGCAGGGGACAGTAGTTACTGTATCAGTCAACAGGAGGGATGGCTGTACAACTTCCTCACAAAGGTATAAGTCAATATGCATTTGAGTGAATGCATAATGCTTCCAGTACAGCACAGTGTCCTGCCAATTATATAGCTCTGAGTGGGGAGATCATTCCCTCTTCCTCTTCAATCTGTACCATTAATCAACATCCTAGTTTTCTTTTAACATGCAGATCAATCATGTTCACCACAATTGAGAATAGCTTGTGAAGATAGCATATGCTGAAAGATTGGTTTCAGGGGAGGAGAAAGAAGATTACTTTTATTCCCTACTGACTATGTGCCTCCTCTTTTAATATTTCACTACTTTACAAGACACTGTATCTGACCCACAGGAAGTGGTGCTGTCTCTGCTAAAATTGTAGTTGCATCGACTGATGCAGAAGTGAGTCTGTGTCCATGATCTAATAAATTAATCAAATACAAATACTGTTTCCACAATTTGTTCTGTTAAAGTACATATCACTAATTTAATGTCTAGCATTGAATATGTCAAATATTTTTATTTATATTCCCTTATATAGGTTAAAGTTACTTGAAATTTCACAAATCAGTTCACAAGAAATTCACACAACATGCATTTGGAGAATTTTAAGGAAACAAAGGAGAGCAAACTAAGAATTATCTTTGCATTGACCAATTTCTATTATAACCCTATTCTCCAATACAATTCGTGCTATAATATACTTTATTTTCATTTTTTTTTTGATTGAATTGTCAAATGCAGGTAGGCCATAGAACTCTCCCCCCCTTTTTTTTTTGAAGAAAGAATTTGCTACAGGAGGGAAGAAGGTTCCTAAAAAAAGGAAGAGGAAAGAGTGTTGATGATAACTTCCTTTATTGTACAGGTAGTCCTGTTAACTACTGCCTCGTTCAGTGGCCATTTGAACTTACAACAGTGCTGAAAAAGTAGACTTAAGACCAGCCCTCAAACTTAGGGCCATCACAGCATCCCACCATCATGGGATTGCAGTTTGCAACCTTCACAGCCAGCTTCTGCCAAGCAAAGTCAATGGGGAAGCCGGCAGGAAGTTGCAAGTTGCGGTCACCTGACATCACACTTAATGACCATGGGTGATTCCCTTAATGATTGGAGTGGAACTGACATAAGTTGGGTACGGTCATGTGATGTTTCACTTAACAGCCATGTCACTTAGCGATGGAGTTGTCAGTCCCAATTGCAGTCATTACTTGAGGACTACCTGTATATGAATTTCTTAACAGTACCCATATTTTTTTATTATTTTCAGGAGTGTTTTGATACATCTGGAAAAGAATCACTTGTATTTTTTTAAAATTCCTGTTTATTTCCTATCAAACTTTGACAGGTATCATGATTAAAATTCTCTATTTACCACTTGCTACTCTAACCTGAAAATATAGATGCTATGTAGCCTATAGAACTCTGATGTACCAGAAAAACAGGCAATTGGTGAAACTCAATGGCAGTATATGCTGTCCAAGTAAAATAAGTATTTTGCACAATACATTTGCAAGCTTATGTGGTAATAAAGGCTGAGAAGTAAACAGACATGCCAGCCAAGAACTATAAGCAGTAAAAACCCATGTGTCACCAACTTGATTCCCCCCAGATGCTTTGGACTACAACTGTCATAAATATAACTGTCAGGAGGCCCTCCACATGGTCACCCATGCCCTGGTCACCTCCGGGTTGGACTACTGTAACACGCTCTACATGGGGCTACCCTTGAAGAGAATCCG